GTCATGTTTGTCTTTAGATCTCAGATAAAATTTCCTGCAAGAAGCCAGAAACTAGATCAAAATTACTCTTGATAGTTGAAAATGAACAGAATGTGTCAATGTAAAGCTATTTGAAAAAAGTAATCCTTGATGGATGCTACTTCAGAGGTTGGGTGGGAACTCTTACTGTTGTGGAAACATCCAAATGCATAAAACCATTCTGCTTTCTATATGCTGTACTGAAAATTAAACCAATTGTAAAAGTGTCTAAATATAAGGGGACACATTTGGAATTTAATATATAATAAGATTTAAAAAAAATGCAAACTCCAGTATACTTGCATGTATATAGGGGGAAACTCAATTCAATAGCACCAGGATTTCATAACATTATGCTAAACTTAGATTTGGAATGTGAAGTTTTCAGTTAGTGCTGGATGATTTATAAGTGATACTGTACTATTTAATTTTAAAAAATTGTACATTTCAAATTTTAAATCCCTATGAAACCAATGGGAGCAGAGATTCAGAAGTTATTGAATAGGTAATGAAGATGGCATGAGAATTAAATAACAAAACAGATATTTTTTTACCCTAAGTAGATGAATAACTTAAATTTATGGTGCATATTGTGAACCAGTTCCAAAAGTGATGATCTTTGACAGCTTCATTTTGACAGCGGGACACAGCTTTTGGGGTAATTTATGCAGCCTAGCTGATATGGCACAGAAGTACAATTATCCATTTATGGGACTTCGTTCTGAATAAGCAAAAATTTACATAACTAAAATGACCTTTTCTGATGATGATATGCTGAAAAGAACGAACTGTGCTTAAGTATGAATAGTTGGTAGGGGCAGCATCCTTTATCCTTCAACCATTCGACTCAAAGAAAATCCACAAAGAAACTCCAAAGTCCACTGTAAATGTCAACGTTATATGTTTTATTTTTTAATCAAGGAATTTATTTAAACCTCACAATATCCATGATTGACAGAAATAAAAAGACATTAGGCAATGAAATGAGAATATAAAATACATGATATGTAGAAAGGCAATCAGTGCTTTAGTCCAGTAAGAAGACAGTAAACAGGTGAAATGACTTTCAAAACTTCAACTCACTGTCTTTAAAAAAAAATACAATTCAAGTGATTTTTATTTCACCTTGTAAACAACATACAAGTCAAAATGGACAATGAGGTAATCTATACTACAGAGGATAATTTAAAACCACTAGATAAGACACAGTATTAAAGACATACAGAAATCAGTGTTCACTTTGGTCTCTAGTATGGTTATTGTTATTACCATGAGCAACGCATACTAGTTAAACCCAGTCTGGTGATGTTTGTCAACCAGTTGTTGCTTAAATAGTAATCCAAGAGGTAGTCAAGACCATCATCCTTTTAAAAGCTAGTTACTCTGACACTTGGTTTACTGACAGTGGTAGTAAATTTCTGGGGACTTTCTAATATTCTCATAAAAATTCTACCAGAGTCATTAAATTGCAGCCCTGTTTAAGTATAAAACAGAAATGTGTGTTCATAGATCAACCTCACCAGTCAACAATTATGACAGAGGTAACACAACCAACATATCTTAAAGAGGCTGTTGATAGTAACCAAAATAAGGTCTGATGCATTTAACAAGGCTTTGCTTGTCTCTAAAACAAATAATCAAATCTCATTAAGATACCTAGAAAATTAAAATTAGTGCATCTGCACATGTACATATCTTTCCCAATTACTTTTAAATCCAGCACAGGGGAATACACATATATATTTTTATGATAAACATTTTCTTACAGATAAATTAATTTAAATTAATTTTAAGACTTAATGAGATTTCTCATGCCCTTTTATAATTTTTCTTACAAAGAATGTTACAAGATCTATAAACACTTTTTTGGGGCTCTATTCACAAAACTAAGTATATAACTAAGCAGTAACTCTGGGATAGCACTGGTGCAAAATAAAATTGAGCCAAAAAAGGGGAAGGCTTTAGGATTAAAACATATTACATTTGGCAGTCCCCAAAAGCTGATTAAAAGCAGAACATTTTGGAGGCTAAAGATGCCAAATTCGACAACAATTACAACAAAAATGCCCATTTGATTCTCCCCTCCCAAAATAGGCTCTTTTTTTTTTTTAAGTTTTAATCTTTTCAGTATACAAGTGTGCACCTTGTTTTAGCTTTTATTGGGGCAGGAAAAAATCATCCCACAATGTCTTCTGAGAGGAGATCAAATCCAGTATCTTATTTTAGATGGGGGAGGAGATGCAGAAGGAGAGAAATTCCCCATATTTTAAATTTCATCTCCAGTAGTGTGGGGAAGCTAGGAGTACAGCTCTTTCAGAAACTATTTTAATACAACTATGTGGACTGGTTCCATTGTGAGGTGTTCTGGCACATTTAGTCAGGGATATGGGAATCAAGGCTGCTCCTATAATTGGCTCTTAAATGGAGACTACTCTTCACTTCATTGTCAAAAGTGAAGGAACAGTGGGAGGACCCCAAAACGTGGATCTGCCCCATAAATGTATAGGATTCCCAAGGACCCATAAAGCTCCTTCTCTTATTCATTTGAAGCAGCTTATTTAATCTGAGTAATTGGGGATGATAACCAGGCATTCTGTTGCAATCCAGTGCTAATTAGTTACTTATCACAGCTCTGCAGTTCTGTAGTTAGCTTTAGTGCAGGGATTGGCAACCTTTGGCACGCGGCCTGCCAGGGTAAGCACCTTGGCAGGCTGGGCCGGTTTGTTTACCTGCCGCGTCTGCAGGTTTGGCCGATCGCGGCTCCCACTGGCCGCAGTTCGCTGTCCCAGGCCAATGGGGGCTGTGGGAAGTGGCAGGGGCTGAGGGATGTGCTGGCCACCGCTTTCTGCTGCCACCATTCGCCTGGAGCAGCGAACCGCGGCCAGTGGGAGCCACGATCGGCTGAACCTGCAGACGCAGCAGGTAAACAAACTGGCCCGGCCCGCCACAGTGCTTATCCTGGCGGGCCGCGGGCCAAAGGTTGCCGATCCCTGCTTTAGTGTCTGTGTTTTGTTGTTTGTGAACAGTGCCCACAATCCTTTTTAATGGAAAAAAAATACAAACTGTAAAGAAATGTTTGGAGACTTTTCACAATTTCAAACGGATGCTTCATTTTAAACAAGTATTTGCTCTAAAGTATGCAGTGGTGAATTACCAATTTACATATATAGTACAGATAAAAAGGTATGTACCATAGGCTCAACAGCCACCTTTAAGGCCAGAGCAGCACAAAGGTGTGTTTATGCAGTAGGTATGAGGTAGCCTTTTGCTGTAAACAGAATAATAATTTTATTGTTACCTATGTAAACGAAGTGGGCTTGATACTTTTTTTTCAGACGGTCTGAGCACCTGTAACTGCTATTGGAAATCAGTGGGAGCTGCAGCTGCTCAGCATATCTGAAAATCAGACCCTGTGAATGTAAAGTCACAAATATTCACATAAGCAACCAGTACAAGAATACTGCTTTATCACTTATTTTCACAGGAAATCATAATACAAAAAGTTGATATCTGATTATAAGAAACGTAGGTGTATGTCAACTCAGAGGTAGTTATTATTATCAGTATACAATACTTATATAGAGATATAAAGGTCTAAATCTATTTGGTTTTGTTCTGAGTAAGCAGGCCTGTAGACTATTCTGTAAAGAAAAAATAACATTACATGGTATATTCCCTGAGCAAAGTTCTTTGTCCTGAGTATGCTATGTAATAGTGATAACATTCTAATATACAAAAATAAAACCTAAGCTTTCAATAATAAGATAGGTTTGGTATGTGCTCTTAGCAGTTCAGTCTGGTTTTGGTGCACAAAACAATGTCAAACTGCACCAGGAAGGTCTGTATGTCACGATTACTTATTTCCTAATGATCTCAGCTCTGAACTTTTTATATGTAAACAGGGAATGACCAATTTTCAAATCCACAATGGCCTATTTCTATAAGGAACTTTGGTTTAAATTTTCAAAGTGACCTAAGTTTTGCATCTTTGCTCTTTAACCTGGTTATTACACCTGCTAGAAGGTTAAGCAATGCCACTTTGATTTGTCTACATAATTTAAATAAGTTTACAATCCTCACGTAAGGCAAGGAAGTACTTCTCTATAGATACATCACATTCAATATCGTCAAAGGTAAGCTTTGCATTACAGCATACTGAGACCGTCAGTACAAACCATTGAGATTCTCACAAACACTGTCATGGAATTCAAGCGAAGTTCATCTGCAGGACTCCAGCCCTATGCGGAGGTAGCTGATCCGTATCTATTTACTACAGCAGCTACAGTAAGTTTCATGTGGCAAGACAATTTGGGGAGGGAGGCCTTGCCTTACAATGGGCCTGATGCACTGCTGGTGTAAGGCCACAGCAGCCAATGGCATTACAACAGAGATGAATTTAGCCCACTATAGCCTTTTCATACATGCTGTATTTCTTTTTTGATTATCTGAGCTTAAACCTACCTTCCTGTCTCAATTTTTGTAACAGCCTATGTTTATTGCCAATGTTAAGGATTATACAGATTTCTCCAAAGAAATTACATCTGCAATGGGATGGTTAGAAGGACATTTTCTTAAGTATAATTTGTTAATCTACCAATTGCAAATGGACCAGGTTACGGATGGCCAAAGTGCAGCCATGGGTTGGTTAAAGTGCAGCCCAGCGAGTTTTAGAATGGGGCTTGCAGACACATTCATCTTCAGTGCAGAAGAGCAGGCCTAGCATGCACTGAGCCAAGGCTGGTCTGCAGTCTTCTCCATTTCATGGAAAGCAGATGGAGTCCTAGGGCTTCTGGCAAGTGTCACACTGTTTGCATGTCCCTGCTCTAAGGCCTCTCTGCATCAGCTGTGTATGTTCTTCATTCAAAACTGTACTTTTACTATATGAATAGCAGGGGATGCTAATCAACTGTAAGTGCCCATACAGTTTTATTCTCCACCAAGGCTGTAACCCAATAGGTCATTAACTTTGTGTTTCTTTTTCCTTTATCTTAAAAAACCCTAGGGAGTTCTTTCCATGACTTTCAGTAGTAAACAAGGGGGAAATCCCCTTGATCTGTACACTGACTCAGGGGGACAAATTGGGACCCAGGGAAGCAGCTTCTGCCACCACCCTACCGCCCCGCCACCCCCAAGATTTTCACAAAACTCAAAGGGGGCAAACAGGGTGGTAGCTTGATACCACTCAAACCAATCAGTTCAGAACAACTGACACATTCTTCCCCCACACAACGGTCACCTAACTTAAAATTAAACCATATTCATTTAACACAACATTTGAGATCTCAGCACAGAAACTACACATTCATTGTCTTTTCTGGAGTCTTAACTCCTGAACAAAGATTGTGGCAACAGGGCCATACTTAATCAAGGCATGCCCTTGACAGGTGTGGAGAAAAAAACAACCTTGCTACACTTTGGGCATCAAGAACAAAATATCCACCCATAATCGAGGGTTAGGGGAATGTCTTAGTATTCTTAGTACCGTATCATTGGCAGCTTTGAGAGGTGAAGTATCCTTTGGTTCATACAAAAGTAACAGTCATGATCTCAACTGGTTTTTAAAGCATGTTTCAAGATTGCTGCCAGGAATGAGTATCCAAAAACATTCTGAACCATGACTATTGCTTCACAATGGATGATGTATCCTGGGAAATGGAGAATGTTCTGCTGGTGTGTGTATGTATACATATACAGAGATAGAGATAGCAATTATAGATATGTATACATACAGACAGAAGGACATGATAGAGACACATGCACTCATGGACAGCCACACACACAGGCAGTAAAACACAAGACACCCTGCTCAAATGTAATTTGCTTGGAGTGATTTGTCTATTAAAAAAAATAAAAAAATTCACAGTTCCTCAACAGTAGTTAAAATTTCAGGTCAGCTACTGATAGTGAAATTACTTCCCCTGTTCTTGCATGAGGTAGACATTCCAAGAGGGTAAAGAAAATGAACGGTTATGACAAAGCTCTAAGTTTTTTTCCTTTTTTGAACAGAAGGCCCCTTTCTGCTTTGTTCTTCAGGTGATGCAGATAACTTACTGGAGGAAGCTTCTTGTGGTGACCTGCCTGAACGTTCTAAGATCTCTGACCTTCCCTCCTGAGAATATGATGGAGATGAATGGCAGTAAGCCCCTCCCCCTTCTCTCAGGAAAGCAGAAGTGGAAGGCTGTGGTTCTGCTTCATATCTTCCCTGAGAACTAGTGGGCTGTTGTGAAACAGTTTTATGAGGGCAGTTAGCCACCATGTGCATGATGCTCTGACAGTAATGGCACTTCTTTGGCTGTGGAGGTAAACTACATTCCTTAGCATGATGATCAAGGCCACCACAGTTGTAGCATCTACAAATGAAAAAGAGAGTCTGTTATAAAATACGTCAATAAAAATATTCTTCAAAACATTAAAGAAAGAAAGAGGAAGAACCAAATCTTATGTGTATACAATTTTTAATTTAATGTGAAGACACACAGCACATTTGTAAAACAGTGGGAGTTTCCACTCAATATTTTATAGTATTTATTTTCTGGCTTTAAGGATTTAAGGTGAGATATTTTTCAGAAAAACAACAAGGAGTCTGGTGGCACCTTAAAGACTAACAGATTTATTTGGGCATAAGCTTTCGTGGGTAAAAACCTTACTTCTTCGATGCATAGAGAAGTTTCTGAATGATTTAGCAGCACAAGTTCCACTGAAAGTGAATAGGACTTGTGCTCAATCACTTAGGTACTATGAAAATCTCATCCTCATTTAGGCCAGATTCTGCCATCTTCATTCATACTGATCAGTATCTTCCTCCACAAGCACTTTGGTATCACTCACACAGAATCTGGCCCTTAATTAGAGTCTGATTCAAAGCCCATTGAAGTCAGTGGGAGTCTATCTACTGACTGAGTCCTAAGGCCAGATTTTCAAAGGTATTTAGGTGCCTAAAGATGCATTTAATAGCTTTAAAAATATGACCTAGATACACAAAAGGTGAAGTTCTAAGGGCTTTTTTGTGTGAGACCCAACAGTCCCCGACACTGTGTGCAAATACATTAGAAAAATATATGAAGGGAATAATAATGATTTTATGTACCCCTCAGTGGCAACAAAAGTTAAAGTCCAGAATCAAAAATAAGCTTTATAGTTTATTAAACTGTAAAAATGGGTATTTGGACTCTGCCAAAATGTACCAGTTGTGCTTCCCTTTAATAAATAATCTCAGAGAATGTGCTTGGGCTGATAACATTAGAATGGTCCACTAGAGGGCACCAAATATTCAAACATGAGCCCACAATAAAGTCTGTAACTCATGTAATGTAGATTAAATATCTTTACTTCAATATTTGTAGCAATAAACTTTTTGAGTGTTAGTGTGTTTAATTTGGGCTAATGGCTGAAGGTGTTGCAAAAAAAATTAGGCTATGATGGCCTACAAGTTCATCCTCACTAATTAATCCTGTTTGTGCCATATTAGCTACTAGATGGAGAAGAATCCTCTGTTAAAAGTTGAATAATATGGTGAAATTTGATAAGAAAGAAGTTCATGCTTTTTGATAAACAGTCCCACAGTTTACCCAACCCTTCCAAAGGAATACACCACCATAAAAACTGTATGGCATCCACATTAGTCAAATCCAACAGAGCAAAGGGGATGTTATGATGATAATGGCTAGATCATTTCCCCCACCAGGTAACGGGAAGGAAATCTCTGCAAAGGTCCCTTTTGAAGAGAAGTCTCTCCCTGATTCTTTCCTCTGTGGGGCAGAGAAGTGGAGGTCAACCTCCCATGATCCAGGAGGTTTGTAGGAGGCTGGGCTGGAGGCAATTCTGGAGCTCGGGGGTTCTCCCCACTGCCTGCTGTCGCATGACTTCTGTGAACTCTCCTGGCCCAGGCTGCCCCTGGACCTCCCTTAAAGGGATGTTCTCTCACCATGGAGGAGGTTCTGTAGGAAAAGTTATACAATCTTGTATTCTGTTACCTTTCTCAGTAATATGTGCAGGGATTAGTAGGTAGGGACAATGATGTGCCCCCACCCCCAGCTCACCCACCAGATCCCAACAGTGATGCAAGGGGAATGGTGTCATGGACCCAGCTGCCTGAGTGGAAGGTCCTCTCCATGCCTGAATCATTGGGACATAGTAAGAGGGGGATGGAGGCCAGGAGGAAGCTTTTGGCAATACCTATTGCTAAGAGGTTGCAGCATGGTTCTGAAAATAGAACAGAGAGTCATAAAATGGGTTTACTGTTTTCTTCCTTGGAAACCCAGAACTCAACCCAATTAAATTTAAGTTTTCCAAAACCAAATAGAATGTCCAACTATTACATGGCTTTAGCCTTTAAAACCAATGATTAAACACACAGCCAGAATGTAAATACTATACTGGAAATCTTGTTAACTAAGGGCTCAATCCTGCAGTCCTCAAGCAATACCTCACTGAATGATCCTTATTTATATGACAGGCTACATTTATGATTTCTTAAAATGTGCACAGTATACATTCTTGTACTATTTGCTAAAAAGAAAATAATTGCACAAACTGTTAAGTCATGCCCAGAATGCAGGTCTGTGAAGTTAATTTCTTTGATGTAATAGGACTATCATGTTACATTCATCTTGACCTTTGTATAGATATTTGCTGTGTTTCCATAATTAGTAATATACATCTTACACATGCATAAATTTAATTCATTGTTTACCATTTTACTGAGGAAAGTGACACCAAATCATATGATGTGATTTCCATGCTTAACTTACAAACCCATTAAATGAGGGAAATAATGCTTACACAGACTTGCTCCAAAGCCCACTGGAGTCACTACGAACTTTTCTATGGACTTCAATGGGCTTTGGATCTAACTCACAGTTAGATATTTTAAAATTGCAGATCACTGGAAAATTGCAGTTTTAGCCAGAACCCTGCAAACACTTATGCACATATTTAACTTTGTGACTGTTGTGTTCGTCTACTTGCATGCCCAAACTTAAGCATGGGTGTGTATGTTTGCCTTAGCTTATGAACTAGATTTCACTTTTGGAAAAAAAATGGCTAAAAACAGTATACAGTTCATATAAGCCTTGAAAAATTGCCATGAATATTTCCAAACAAGGAAGGGGAACCCTCTCCCTCTAACAATTCTTGCCCACCCATTAGAATGATCAAAACATTTCCTTGCTTTGGCCAAGTTGAATTTTGCAAGGACAATTTATAACTTGAATAAGTCAAATGATACATAGAATTCCAATGATTTTTTTTTTAAAATCCTTGCATAGAATGTTGTAATGACATCAATTGTGCCCAATTTTTAGAAGTATAACAAAAAAAACCCTAAAATTAGTCTTTAGGTGGCTTCAGATGAACTGCTAACATTTTAAAATATTCAGTATACATCTGTTTTTTGTGTAATCGGCCAGTAGGATTGAAGAACTCTTTCTCAAACTGAGTCTGTTTGCATGTATTGTAAACTGACCCAGCAATCTTAATTACCCCCTGCCGTTGAAAGGAAAAAAAGAAAACAGGCGAGGTTTTACAAACCACAGTCATCTAGCATTTATTTCCCCAATATTTCAGCAAGATTAAATAAAATGTTAGCTATTTCACATGCGTGCTATCCTCTAAGACCAAAATGATAGATATTTCCTAAGTTTAGTAAAAATGTTTTCATGTATTAAACATTGTACATTGGTTTCCTTTCCATCAGTCACTGAAGCTATTTCAAAACAAATGACCAAATTAACATCTCTTACTGGTATATAGCTATGCTTGTCAGATAAGCTTTTTCTAAAACCACTAGATAAAACAATGAGTGACAACTGAAAAATAATGGCAATGATCCCTTCCGTAAGCCCCCTTCCCCCAAAGTTCTAGAAAGATACTAAAAAATAAGGGGGAGGGGTGTTATGATTTAAATTTGATATTAAAGAATGGCATTTTCTTGATTTCTTTCTATATAGTATAGGATATTTATTCTGTGACTTCTTATCTATGTGTTAGTAAGGATTGTAAACCACTTTGGGAATGATATATCTGACCTTAATTCTGGAGAGAATTTTATAGTTGTAAATTTAACTTATTTTCACTTCCTTCCTTTAGGATCACATTCATCCAGAAGCAGACTCTCTCTCTCTCTCTCTCTCTCTCTCTCTTAAAAGAGTTCGAAAATAGGTTAAAGGGCCTCAGTAATAGAGTAGGCTGCAGCCACGGACAAATCAATTTAATCAGTCACTATGGTATGCACTGTGTTATCCAATTCAGTGAACCATTTCGCCTCACCAATTGACCAAGAACCTGCTGGCAGGGCCCCCACTTCCACTCCAGGGGCCTCAATCAGCTTTTGCATCTATATTTATCATTACATCCTGCTTTCAAAATAGTTTAACCCCCTCCCCCCACCCGCCAGTTTTCTTAAATTTCTGGTAGCATTTTTTTGTTGCCCTTGTTTTAATAAAAGCCGTTATAATTAAACTGTAATTTGGCTTTTCAGCCATGTTTCTGTCACCAAGCAAGTCAGCCTGCTGGTTGAAGTGTTGCATTAAATTGTGTATGTGCCTGTCCATGTGCGCCTGGACTTAAACAGGAGGGTGGTATTTATTCAGTTCTTCTGACTATTTATTCGTTCCTTGTCAATCACTCTTACCAGCAGGACAGATCACACCCCATTCTGAAATGCTTTCGTTCTCATGGGATTGACACCAAAATGGAAATGGTCAGCCACCTCGGAGCACACAAATGATACCACATGGTATCATTCATGCACATTGAAATGTGGTATTAACCCTTTTGTTCTAGCTGAGAATTCAAAATACAACCTGCTTGTAATTGCTAATGTGTCAGCTGTATATTCTTACTTTACAGCACAATGAAATGAAACCTAAAACATTATGATACACAGACACAGGCTGTACACGCTGTATACATAAATATACAAAACAATAGACAGGCAAGCTTATGCGAAGGAAAATTAAGCAAGTTCACATTTGAACATGCATATATAATCCAAACCAATAACACTGGAATAAATAATTATCCAAAATAAAAATACCACTGAAACATGGTGATTAACTCAGCATCTTAAAATAAAGTTAAAATAAAACAAACTACTATACATCACATGATGTCTAGGTCAACATAAAGTCTAAAGCACTGCTAAAACAAGTATGAGCAACTCCTGATTCTGTTTCTTGGAAAAGATCTGCTATAAAAGGAACAGCCCTTCATAGTCTTAATAGGCTCTGATAATTTATTAGGTGACTGCATGCTCAAAACCTAACGCAACATGAAGTATAGATAAAGAGATGACAATTATCCTAAATGGGAACACTGCCTCAGCACAGTTAGCTGAGTAAGGGAGGTAGAT